CAACAGCATCCTTAATTGGCTTTCCAAGGTATGCTTCAGCTGTTTCCTTCATTTTTATGAGAACCATAGCACTGATCTCTTCTGGACTAAAGACCTTCTTCTCTCCATCTTTGATCTTTACTTCAATATACGGTTTTCCATCCTTGTTCACAATCTTGTATGGAACAAGCTTCATGTCTCTCTGAACTTCTTTATCCTCAAATCTATTTGAAGTAGCAGGATTGCAAAATTAAAGTGAATGAATATACTAATAACGTGTCTAAACATGAACAAAAAATGAGAAAAAAGTAAACATTACTTTCTGCCAATAAGTCTTTTGACATCAAAGATGGTCCTCTCGGGATTAACAGCTGCTTGGTTTTTTGCAGCCTCACCAATTAATCTCTCGCCATCAGTGAAGCCGACCCACGAAGGGGTGATGCGGTTACCTTGGTCATTTGCTATGATTTCAACGTGCCCATTTTTGTAAACACCAACACATGAATAAGTTGTTCCAAGATCAATCCCAATAACCGTTCCTAATTTGGCTGCTTCCTCTTTCGCAATGGAGAATGCAAAAAAACTTCCTGTTCAAAACAAGCCGCCAGAGTTTACACAACGTGTTCCAATTGTGTAGGAACTCCAGGTGTAAGAAACTGGAAATCCTACAATTGTGTGTCAGCCTAGTCTAAGCTTCTTTTCATCCCTCTCAAATTCAACTTAGATCGATTCAGGCCACAGCCTAACTCCAAGTGTCGGTTTTCAACTCAATACAATAATTACTACATCTAACTCTTAACTCTCTTCAGAGTTGGTTGCAAGGAAAGTGTTTAAAACCATTCAATCAATTTGAGACGGGAGAGGCCATTGATATTAAAAAGAGGACTAAAATTACGGCATTCAATTGTCCTCCATCAAGATCATGCAAGCACAAACTTTCTTTTAATCCACATAGAGAAACGAGAAAACCAGCTACTCATATAAGCATAAAAACAGATCTGAACAAGATATTTATATTTATCAAATTGCTGACATCAACGCTAAGTCCAAGGCAGATATGACAACACCGGAGACAGAACACGTTAAAGTGCGATTTAATTAATCACATGCCCGGCACCGTTAATTAGAGCAATCACTGCGTAAACTCTCAAATCACGAATTTCCTAGAGATGCAGTTTTAACATTTCTGAGTTTCAACTCCAAAACATCAAACCAAAAAAAAAAAAGTAGAAACGTAAGTAACAGTCTCCTACTCACCGAAGAATAAGATTCCGAAAACGATCAAGGATGCGCGTCTTGTCCACGCACCAGCCATTGCCGCTAAGCTAAGTAACCCGGCCGGCGATGCGAGAATTTTAACAGCAAAAAAACAAATGCCTATAGGAGAAGTGGAGAAGGGGCCGCTCGCAGATGGAGAAGTGGAGAGTGGAGACGAGAGGAGGGACATAGGGAAGCTTTATATTTTTTTAACCTTTTTGCGGGTGGGTGCATTTGAATGAATGTTTGACTGATGTGTAATTGTGTCACAGCTGTTGACGTGGACCAATGGGATTTCGTATATGACATGTTGGAGCCAATCGGCTTGATCCTCATGTTGGCCCTCGCGTTGGGTTGATCTTAGCCGCTAGTTCTGGTGTTTGTTGTTAATTGGCTAATTTGGCCCTCAAAGTTTTTTGGACGTCCTCGTCGCTCGCTTGTTCTAGAAAGTTCGTGCCAATGATTTTATAAAATGAAAAAGTTTTAGCAGCTAGGGACTGTTTGTTTGAACTGAAAATATTTTCCAGGAAATAATTTTCGGATTTTCTAGTGTTTGGAAACAGAAGATGCTAGGAAAATATTTTCTAGTGTAAAATGTTTTACGCTACAAGATGTAAACAGACTTTCGGAACAGGACTTATGAAGTTTCTCGGCCATTTCAGCATTTACCTATCAAGATATTCATAACAAATAAGATATACCAATACTGCAATCATCGTTAAAAATTCATTCTCGCGTCTATTACGAAAAACCCCGGCCCCGTTTGGATTTGAGAGTTTTTCATCTACAATGCTACAGTAAAAATTTAACAAAAACAACTTAAAAAACACCATATCCAAGCAAATATTTTAAAAACAACTCCAAATATACAAAAAATATATTAATATATATATTAATATATAAATATTATATACAAAAAAATATATTTTGTTTAATAAATATATAAATACATATATAAATATTAATACAAAAATTAATATACAAAAATATTTTTATATATAAATATTATATACAAAAATATATTTTGTTTAATAAATATATATTTATATATAAATATTAATACAAAATATATATATATATAATTAAATATATTTACATATATTTATAAATATATTTATATTTTATTTATTTAAATATATATATATATTTAATTATATATATTTATATAAATAATATATTTATATATATTTATATAAATTTATAAATATTTTTATTTCAAATATTTTTATAATATGTAAATTAATATACATATTAATATGTATATTTTGATATTTATATTTCAATTATTAATATGTATAATATATATATTATATCAATTGAAATAAATATTATATTTTTATATATAAATATAAATATTTTGTTTAAAATATATTTATATTTATTTAAATATAAATATATATCTATATATATTTATATAAATATTTATTTATTTATATATTTATATAAATATGTAAATATATTTATTTCAAATTTGTTTTATAATATGTATATTAATATATATTAATATGTATATTTCAATTATGTATATTTTATTATATATATAAATTATATTAATATTAATATGTAATTTAAATTATGCATATTAATGTGTATATTATATATATTATATCAATTGAAATAAATATATGTATTTATATATAAATATTAATATTTGTTTAAAATATATTTATATATATTTATATAAATATATAAATATATACATATCAATTTTGTTTTATAATATGTATATTAATATATATTTGTATATGCATAGTAAATATATAATAATATACATATTAAAAAATAAAATTGAAATAAAAATATTATATATATAAATAAATAAACATTAATATATAGAAATAGAGCCAGTATATATTTAAAAAGAATCTCAACAAAATTCTAAATTATAAAAAATATTCAAAAAAATATTTTAAAAATACCTCTAAAAACAATCCAAAAACATCTACAGTAAAAGTTTTTCATATATAAAGTTACAGTAAAGTTTTTAAAAAACACTTCCAAAAACAGCTAATCCAAGCGGAGCCCCCATTATCAGCCACTATTCCCTCCTCCTCATCTTTGCCAATTTTACCCTTTTTCTCCCGTGGATCCCTGATAGGACCAAAGTACAAAACACCTCGGTCCATCCTGATCTGGGAGAATTCGCCCTGGTCATCCCATGATGAGAGCTCACTTCCGCCATGGGTGAGGGGCAGGAGCGGTCATTAGCTCCTGAACTGTTCACGGCCAGATTTTGGCCAAAAAAAAATGTGCGGTCCAGATCACTAGTTGTACATCGATTTTCACAATATGTGTAGGGCCCGCAAAATTTTGTACTAAAGTTACACGTTGTGCAAACAAAGTTAAGCTGTGTGCAACCAAAGTTATGCGCTGTTGAAAATGATCAAAACCGCCAGAAACGGTTGCACCTGTCCATTGTCCCTTCAGCCATATCCTTAACCCAGAACGACGGACGCCTCTGCGAATGACGTGACCAATGACTGATGGATTGATGTGACTGTCAACCATCCTATTATCCAATAATACATCTGTCACTGCCGTCCTAAACTGTCCTATGACAACCGACAACCAGACTTCATCATTTTTTTAGTAGACCTCTTTAGTATATAAACTCGCTTCTCTGTCCACTTGAGGTACACAATCTTTGATCTAATATACGCAACTCCCAAACAACCTCTGACTTTGGCATCGAAGTGAGACCGGGAGACATAGTTCCGACTACTTCTTATTTTGCAGGTGAGCTCGTCTCTTGGATATCTCGACTCTCTTACCAGAAATTTGCCTTGTCACCTCCTATGCTAGCATAAACAATGCATCCATGGAGATGTTGAAAATTTATGCCAAGAGCGGGTCTTGACAAGTTTTTGGGTGAGGAAAATCTAGAAAAGTGAAGGAGATAGAGTGGAGGAAGACTTTTGTGCAGGAAGGTTTGTATCAGAATTCAAGAGCTACTTTTCCATATGATGATTGATCAATTATAAGGTTTTAATTATTGAAGCAATTTCTGAGTAGAAATTTTTTTAGAATTTATAGATCCTTTTATCTGTAATCAAAAGATCACAAATTGATCTATATAAATAAGATTTCATGTTCTCTAAATAGTTATTAACAGTTAGAAACATGTCTGAAATTGTATCTCTTCAAATGATGGTTGAAACCTGAAAAGTTGCGAATGAAATGCAGAAAGCACTTTTAGAATTCTGCTCAGATTTTTAATATTTGAAAATATTCCAACAAAAGGTACATATAAGGTGGGGAAGGTTTGATTCATTTTATCAGAGAGACTCCAAATCGTATAAGATTAAGAAAGAAGTTCAAAAAATCAAATCAAGTAGCTTAGCCCTCGCTAATGTTTGGACTGGATCTAATGTTCCTGCACCTGGAGCTAGTGCTGTTAATCGAGCCGAGTCGAGCCGAGTATCTGAACGCCGAGCTCGACTCGTGACGAATTCGAGCCAAGCTCGAGCTCGCTCGTTAGCGCTAACGAGCCATAATATGCACTCGAACTCGACTCGAAAAAAGGAAATGTGACTCGAACTCGAGCTCGAGCTCGACTCGTTTATCACAAACGAGCCAGGCTCGGACGAGCTCGAGCTCGAGCTCGAAATATCTATCCGAGCTCGAGGCTCGATTTCGAGGCTCGAGGCTCGATTTTAGACTCGAGTTCGAAGCTCGAGACTCGATTTTGAGGCTCGATTTCAAAATTCAACAATCAGTTATTACGAAGTCCTGCTCCAGCATATCCAGATTTAGGCTATCCAAAATCAACAAAAAATATTAGGATTGGCAACCAATGCCATTCACATTCAACAATACACAAACTCTAACCACATTTCATCCAAGACAAATAAGACCATAACATCCATGATCCATACAACACAAACTCCAGGGACTGCAGTCAACAAATACACAAACTACAGTCTAATTCCATATGAGACAACATTCATAAGAGCCAATATACCATAACAGGTTTTGTCCAGCCAAATAAACGCACAAACTACAACTAAATAACCATGTAAAACACTGCTACATAGCTTAAAAATTGTCCAACTTCAAACACCTGACAAGAAAAAGTACAACCCCTTCAGAAATCACAAGAAAAAGCACAGCTTCACAAGTCCAGCTTTACAAATCACAAGAAACAGCATCACATATTCCAGAAAACAGCCTTCAAATGTCCGGAAGATCAATTTCTTCAATTGTAGATGATTCGGAAACATCGAGTGGTTCCTACAAAACGAAAACAAGAAAGTTACAACTCCTAGCAAGATAAAATGAGCTGCCAAAATAAATAACTAATAGAGTATATATTTTACTTACACGAGACTTGTTTTTTAACCCATGAAGATTGCGGATCCAATCATTCCCACAAAGTAGCATTTGAACCGTTTCAACGGACATAGAAGCACGCCTATCATCGATTATTCTACCACCAGCACTGAAAGTAGATTCGGACGCCACGGTTGTAACTGGAATAGCGAGTATATCACTTGCCAATCTTGACAATATAGGAAACCTCCACCTTTCCCCTTTCCACCAACCCAAGACATCAAGATTTGCATTTGCATCACAAACATATCTGCCCTCTTCCAAATAGACATCTAAATCTGATTTTTCAGGGGGAGCCTTGTCAATTTCACTAACAATCATCTGAAATTTTTCTTTCCCAGTTAGAACATTAACTCCAAGCTTTTTAGCAGCCCCTTGAGTAGATTTACTTGAAATTTCCGAATGTTTTCTTTTTCCAGCTTCCCTTGGTGGTTCCTCACTATGAGATGAGATGTAAGCATCCACATATTCATTATAAAGGTCATAAAGAATGCATCTCATCTCATCAATGTACCTAGGGGCTGCAACTTCTCCATAAATAACTGGGAAAGTATGATTAACAAGGACCATTTTGTACCTCGGATCAAGAATAGCACCCAAAGACATCAAAACATTGCTTTCACCCCAATACTTGTCAAATTTTAGTGCCATACTTTCAGCCATAAACCTAATATGATCAGAAAAATCGAGAGCTTTTTCATTTAATAGCTCTTTAATCCTATACAACTCTACAAGAAAAAGGTTAGCTGTTGGGTAATCGGATCCAGAAATAATATTGGTGATCTCATAAAAAATACCCAAAAATTTACATACTTCTTCAACTTTCATCCATTCAAACTCACTTGGGACATAGTGAAACCCAGGATCAATGTCCCCATACCTGGGAAATACATCCCTAAACTCTAGAGCTGAAGCCAACATCAAATAAGTGCTGTTCCACCTAGTTGGGCAGTCCAAAATGAGCTTTCTAGAAGGCAATTGAAGCTGTTTTTTTATTTTGGCAAATTCATTGAGGCGAGACTCTGAATTTTTCAAATATTTAATCCCCTCTCGAACAACATCAATCACATCAACAATTTGATTAAGCCCATCTTGAACAAGCAAATTAAGTATATGGGCACAACACCTAACATGAAAAATTTTTCCTCCAATGCTCAACCTTTTTCTTAGACAGAAATCCTCTTTAACTCTCCTAATGCATACATCATTATAAGAAGCATTGTCCACAGTGATAGTAGAAACCTTATTTTCAATCCCCCACTCAAGAAAACACTTACTTAACGCATCAGCAATAATTACACCCGTGTGAGGAGGTGGGACATTACAAAAATTTAGAACCCGTTTTTGCAACACCCAATCACTATCAACAAAATGCCCAGTCACAACCATGTATTGAATTTTTTGACCAGATTTCCACAAATCTGTGGTTATACTAATCCTATTGGCACCTTTTAAGATATTTCTCAGCCTTCTCTTTTCAAGCATGAAAGCAGTCACACAATCTTCCTTTACTGTTTGCCGGTTAATCTTTTTATAAAATGGAGATACAGCTTTCATGAACTTGTTAAAAACAACATGATCCAACATAGAGAAGGGATACTCATGTACAAGAACCATATGAGCTGCTAACTCTCGTACTTTAGCATGATCATAAGAGAAATTAGTTATAGAAGTTATACCATCCGAGGGGCCTTCGGTAAAGGATAACACTTGCTGCCTCTTTTGATTTTCCTCTCCAACAGCCAGCCTCTTTTGTAGGCAATTTTTGAGATGACGCTTGTGTTGAGAAGTAGCTCCAGATGGATTTTTGACAAATAGTTCTTTGCAGTGATTACACTGCACTTTCAATGTTCCATCAGGCTGTTTTACTATAGTCATATCCTCCCATATTGTTGACTTCTTTTTTCGTTGTTTTTTTTCAAACGGATTTGCTCCTTCAACAGCACCTTTTTCCCCTGTTTCTGTTCCTTCATTCGGCTGATCTAAGTGATCTAAGTCCAGCTCTTCTTCGCTCATCTCATCAGCATTAGACTCCACCTCAAGTTCTTGTTCGACAGCTTCATTTTCAACCTCCATAATTGGACTTGTTGACGATCCTTGGTGACTGTACATACCTATTATTTAAAAGGAAAAATATACTTGAGTCAAGTCCATAAGGAACATATGCAGGAATATAGTGAAGAAACGCTATAGTGAAGAAATCAGTAAAATTAAAATACAGAGTCCTTAAAAGAGGGGAAAGGCAAAAAAGAAAACAATAAAAGAGACAAAAAAAAAGTAAAAGGGAAAAGCGAAAGCAGAAGCACAAGAAAATGTCTCATAACATTAACAGCAAGGTGCTGGTTTAAGTAAGGCATCCAGGATAATCTTTTCCACACAAGAAAACACATTCACACTCCATGAGAAGTAGTAAAAGTTCATAAAAATAGGGGCCTGCAAACAAAATTTTTTTTTGAGGAGTGCAAAATGGCCAGTTATATATCTTTCTTTCACAGGAACTAGTGTATCCCCTAATCATTCTTCTTACCAATCAACAAGCTTTTGCAATTACTGCAAGAACATTTCAAAGTGTACACTTGTTTTTATGAAAAAAAATGGCCTAAAGAGCTCCAAAAAGATTATATTCATGACCACATTAACCTGCTTTCCCTGCCTATCCAAACCTGCCCCCATTCCCACTCCAAAAGAAGAGCAATGATTACTTAAAACTTATCCAAGAGAAATCAAGTACAGTATTACAAATGAAAGTACTTCAAGACGTACACAAAAAGTTCAAGACATAACTCATATTATCCATAATTCGCATTCCCAAAAAAAAAAAAAAACAGCACAACATAGAATCAAGTTCCATATGTTGAGAATCAGACATAGCTTAGTGGTTAAGGATCTTTGTCCCTGCTTCGTTTTTCCAACCCCTCTCTTTTATAATTAACCTACGAAAAGAGACGAGACTTACCAGAAATCACGAAGGATTAGAGAAACCAGTCAAATTGGACTAGTTTTTGGCCCTGGCCGTGGACGGGGTTGTTAATGGCAGAAAACAGAGGCTGTGGGCGGCAGTGGAGGCAGAGGTTGCTGTGGAGTGCGGCTTGCTGTGGAGTGCAGGGTTACGGTGTTGCGGGGTTGCGGGCTGCGGGGTTGCGGTGTTGCGGGGCTGCGGGGGTTGCGGGGCTGCGAGGTTGCGGAGCTGCGGCGTTGCGGGGCTGTGGGTGCGGCTGTGGGTTACTGGTTGCCGGTTGCGGGGTTGCTGGGTGCTGGGTGCTGGGTGTTGGGTGTTGCGGAGCTGTGGGTTACTGGGTGCGGTGTTGCGGGGTTGCTGGGTGCTGGGTGCTGGGTGTTGGGTGTTGCGGAGCTGTGGGTTACTGGGTGCGGTGTTGCGGAGCTGCGGCGTTGCGGGGCTGTGGGTGCGGCTGTGGCCTGTGGGTTACTGGTTGCGGCCTTGCGGGGTGCGGCGGAGAGGGAGAGGCAGAAATGAAGAATGAGAGTATGAGACGATGCAATATCAACCCTAGTCCAAATTTCTACCTGTTGACTGCTAAAATGACACAAATACCCTTCTTTGTCGAGCTCAACCGAGCTACTCGATAAAGAATCGAGTTCGAGCTTACTCGGCTCGATAACTAAACGAGTATTTGTCGAGCTCGAGCTCGGCTCGTTAATTGAAATTAACGAGCCGAGCTCGAGCCTTATCGAGCCGAGCCTTAACGAGATTTCGAGCTACTCGTTTCGCTTAACAGCTCTACCTGGAGCTAATCGTTAGATAGCCCGGAAGAACCACTTGCTTCAACTATGCCAAATCTAGGGTTAGAAAAGAACGCACACTATATTGCTATCAAAGCCCAACATCTAAAACAAATTAAAACCGGTTGAAGAGGTGATTTTTGGTGGGTAGTTGAACCGACCAGAATCAGGCTCCTCTGAGATGAAATGAGGTGTATCCTCGTGTCCGAAGTGAATGGCGGGGCTTCTCCCCTGGGATCACTCCGATGATCAAGTTAGTATGAGAACGAGAGAAAAGCAGTAGTATTGTCAAATGAACAGTATGCTTACTTGTTGGGAGTGTGTGGGGTATTTATAGAGTGGGAGTGGAGGTCAGGACGGAGGGTTCATGCTGGTGGGACCCATGTCCTGACATTACGGCTCTGTTTCCTGCCAGGAGGCCTGACTCTGACACTGTAGCCGCCTGGGCTGGATGACGGGGGTCCTGCGCAGTAGTCATTAAGATCACCCAGTGCTTTTCAGATAAAGCACTGGTCCTGGGTGTTGTCAGGGGTGTTGACATCATCAGCGTCTAGCCGAGGTGGTAGCAAGGGGTGCAGAGGTCATCCAAGTAGGAGACCATGGATCGAGCCGAGCTCAGGGTCCGGATCGGGGAATGGCTGTGTTCGTGTAGGAGACGAAACGAGGTCACCTCGGCAACAAGGTACGGCCGAGGTGAGCACCCTCAATAAGCCCCCCAAGCCTCGGGAGCTCCGGGCTAGGGAGGTGCCGAGGCTTCCTTGTGCCGAAGTCATGAAGAGTCGGGGTCCCGAAACTACTCCGGAAGATGCGGGGACGGGACACGTGGGCGAGTCAGTTGACAGGACGTGGCACTGGTAACCGTCGCGTCGTGAAGTAGTGGGACGTTTCGTGCAGAGGGAGTGTCAGTTGAAAGGACGAGTCATTAATGAGGAGAGAGAGAGGCACGTCCTTTTGAATTCGAACGTGGTTGCCTTTTCGCATTCTTGCCGCCTCTTCGGATTCCCCCCGACTCCCTATAAATAGGGGATTCTTTTCATCGCATGGCCCATCACTTTCTTTCTCAGCCTCAGACTTGTAAAATTCTTGAGCGTTGCCGAGGTCAGTCCTGCCAGCCGAGATATCAACCGAAGTCATCCACTTCGTCAGATTCCGTAGTCAACAGTAAGTATCTTTCTTTTCATCTCATCATTCACTCATGGCCAAAACGGCTAAAACCCACAAGGAAACTGTGAAGCCGAGCTACCAGGCCGAGGAGGTGCCGGACACTTCGGAAGAGGCGACTTCATCCAACTCCACGGGGTCGGCACCTACCGATGTGGGGGGATCGGCCGAGGAAGAAGTGGCTGGGACAGCATCGGGGTCAGAGTCATCAGAGATGAGCGAGGGCGGTTCCGATGTCGAATACGACACCAACCTCGGAACTGCAATACCCCACGACGAAGGGGTGCTGGAGCCCGTTGCCCCAAGAAATGCTGCCAACCTGGACTTCGGCAAGATGCCGCAGTTTAGGAGCCGAATGGGAATGGACAGGGGTAGGAAGGTGATAAGGAAGTATCCCTTCAGGCCGGGGTATCTCATCACCTCGCCCGGGCCGAACGATTCGGCCGAGAATCCCCCCATGGGCACTGTGGCCATCTACCTTCAGCAGTTGGAGGCCGGGCTGAGGATGCCGACGTCAAGATTCTTGCGGGACGTGCTCCGTCACTTCGGCGTAAGAATCACCCAACTCGTCCCAAACGCGGTCCGCATCCTCGTAGGTTTCGAGATGCTGTGCCGACATCAAGAGGTGACCCCGACCGTGGACCTCTTCCGCCGATATTACACCTTCAAGGCACATGGGACAGATAAGGGATGGTTCTTTGTCTGCAACCGGAACAAAACCATCCCGAAACTAGTCATCGGCGCCCCTCTTCAATAAAGAACTGGAAGCGTGACTTCATATTAGTCTCGGCCGTGGACTTCCCACGGGGTTTTTGGTGGAGGCCTATCAAATCGAAGGCCGACCCTTCCGCGGGGGATCATGAGGAGGAGTCCTTCCAGAAATTGATGGGGTCCGGACTTCGGATCTTCAGCTGGGACCACCCCGAGGCCGTGCTGGTCGATGGGGGAATTAGCCGAGCTTTGATCCCTCCTGACAGAACTCCCCTCATTTCCACAAAACTTAAGATACCTTGTAATTTTCTTTCATAGCTTTGTTTTCACTTCGGCTAAGGCATATGATAATATTTGTTTCTTGTGCAGTGACTAAACTGTCCGACATCATCACATCGGGTTCGGGGGCCGAAGTGGCAAAGAGGTCGAAAAGGAAGAGCTCGGGCGAGATATCGGCGTCTCCGCCCAAGAAGAAATCGCAAGGGCAGCCCTCTAAGACCTCGGTGGAGAAGACCACCCCCACCACGGCAGCCCAGAGCAGCTCGGCTGCTGCGGCCACAGGGTCCACCTCTTCGGTGCCCAAAGGGGTGCCAATAGGGGTGACCACGGCACGTCCACCTCCACATGGCCGAGGCAAACAGTTGAAGTCTCCGGTCAACGCGGTGACGGCGTCCTCACTATGGAACCGTTACCAAAGCCCCCCGGTGTTTTCTGGGAAAGAGAAATCTCACCCCGGCGAGCATTGGTGTCCGGACTGGTCGCTCAAGATCAACGACCGATGCAGCCACCCTCGGGTTGCACAAGACCTGGTGATGCAGTCCACCTTGCCGAGAGACTTGAATTTCACCAGGAAGCTGACTCCGGCCGAGATGCTCCAAAGCGTCATGGTGACCACGGCCTCCAACACAGCCTTTGTAGCCGAGATGGCACATCGGTACTGTGAGTTGCTTGAGGAGCAAGACACCGGCAAACTGCAAGATCAGATTGCCAAGCTGAAGAAAAAGCAGGTAGTGTCTGAGTCCGAGAAGTCCGAACTTCAGAGACGGCTTCAAGAGGCCGAGACTAAGGAGGAGGAGGCCGAGGCCACTATCTATAGCCTGAGGTCGGCTCTAGAGGAGGAGCAGAAAAGGTCGGAGGAGGCGAAGAAGACCCATGAGCAGGCTCTCGAGAGCGCGAGGACCTCGGCTGTAGAGGATTTCCGGAGGTCCGAGACCTTCATCGGGGACCTCGGCCAGCTGACGAGGCCGACCTTCATGCTAGGCTTCACATCGGCCATAGACGAGGTAGCAGCTCATCTACCCTCTGAGGCTTTGGAGTCCTTGAGGAACAGTGCCAACTATAACGAGGACTCCAAGGAGCTGTGCGATCGGATGGCCGAGGGTATCCAAGCTGGAAGGAACTTGGCCGAAGTCCAGGATGAGTTCAACAAATGGTTAGCTGAGCTCGATGAGGTGTTCGAGGAGGAAGAAGGAGAGGACACTGGGGGTGGCGTCGGAGAGGAGGCTGCCGAAGAGCAAGGAGGTGGTGGAGAAGATATTCACCCCGG